CACGTTATACACATCGATTTTCCATACATATATATCGCATTGCAATGACCATTCTCACGCTGACGATACCCAATTATACTACCCTTCCGATTCATCTGATATCTAACTTATAAATCACAGAGTTAACGAAGATATGAAAGCTCTCCTCACTGATTCATTGGACCATGAGTTGAAAACCAATTCTAATAAATCTACTGCTATGCTATCTGGAAATGATGAAGTAATAACAAATATTAAGCAACAATTGTTACTCAATTCAGGAAACAACGACCTTTCTTTCACTGATCATTGCAAAAATTTGGGCTTGACGCTTGATTCAAACTTGAGATTCAAGAATCATATTACTAACGAATTGCGCCCGGCTTACGGCTCTCTGAAACTTATTTCCAATCATCGTAAATATTTGAACTTGACTATAAAAAAAATGCTATGTGATTCTCTGGTGTTGTTTCATTTCAACCATTGTGATATCATCTACTCTTCCTGTTTGGATGCTTACGATGCCCGAAGAAATCAAAAGGTGCAGAACTCATGTCTCCGTCTTATATATGGTGTAAAGAAAAGACAAAGGATCTCTTGTAAGTTGAAGTATGCAGGCTGGCTGAACATGTTCAATAGACGAAAATTACATACCATTTGTTTCTAGTATAAATTATTGAAAACCAGAATCCCACAATATTTTTATAACAGAATTACTTTCAGGACGGATATACATAATTCAAGCTTGGACGAAAAAATAATATTAGAATACCTTTCCATAACAAACAAATTTCCAAACGTCCAGTTCCCTATCAAATTCCTCAATATCTACATATTTTGGATATTCCTCATCATGCATCGTCAGTGAATAACTTCAAATACAAACACGAAAAACAATTATTACTTGAGCAACAATGATTGATAATTATGATTTTTTCCATTCCTTTTTTCTTGTTCCTCTCTTTTTTCTCATTTCTGTGTATTCCACAAAAGGTGGGCAGGCACATTGGTTTTCTCAGATAATATGAACAGTAGTCAGTTTGACATATTTCACATTGTATCACTATTAATTTCTCTAGAGCTCTTCGCGGCATATTGATTTCACTTCATTATTTTTTCTAGTTTACTGGGCAGTGTGGTGGAATCGGCCTTTGTCTTAACATTGCACCATTTATTTACCTAATCATCATTATTGTATGAGTGTTTAGCCCTAATCACAAAAAAAATTTATTTGTTTCAAGGGTAAATAATAAATGATTATTATTATTATTATATTATTGAGGTGTTGACGGCAACAGCACTTTTTTTCTTCTAGTTCAACTCCCTGTTTTCTGTACACACAAAGAGTTCAACGAATCTGGATAAATTCTCAACAGCATCTGTCGAAAACTTGAACCTCATCCTTGAAATAAGGATGTTTGTGTTGTAGTTGAGTGAGTTCGAGGTTATGACGCGTACAAAAATGTTTCCTCGAATAACCCGTGAGCAAATTTGGCTTCACTGATAATCCACCCTGATTGCTGAAAATAGTGGAGGATTGCCTAGCGAAACAGCCACTGCAACTTTTTTTGCTATACTCTATCGATTACTAATTTTTCCTTGAATAGAAGAAGCAACACTGTTTAGGAATCGATCACTCATATCATTTCATATTCTAGTTCAATAGTTATGAAGGTTTCCAGGTTATGACTTGAACAGAAATATTCATTTGAAGAACCCCTGGGCAATGTTGACTCAACTGATAATTCACACCCATTGCTGGAAAGAGTGAGAGAGTGCCTAGCAATACAGCCACTGCAACTGTTCTCGCCTTTCTCGATCGACTAATACTCTCTCCTTGACTCGAAAAAGTTGTACACTTCAAGACGATCATTCACACTATTTCATATTGATGAATAGTTCCTGAAATATTGAGCCGTGATTCCTGAACAGTAATTTCAAGCTTGTAACTCAGAGATTGAATATGTAATGTACTATGCATTCACGCTGACTCCCCAACATATCATCGGCTGAACACCCAAATAAGCTGACATTTGTGGAGATGACTCTGAGCTTTATTGTATATATTCAACCTTTCATTTCACTTTGAGCAGTGTGGCTATTTCGTAGTTAAAATCAGGCCAGTCAAGCGATCAGACACTCCCATTGTTTGGTACTGCAGTTTGGAGTGTTTTTCTCCTTCTATGTGGTCTATACCTTTTCAACTTCAATTTCGGAATCGGTGAGTTATATTTCGGAGAAAGTAATCTCGATTTCAGAATTGGTTAGTTCGATTTCAGAAATGGTAAACTCAATTTCAGAATCGGTGAGATGAATTTCAGGAAAAGTCCATTCAATTTCAGAAATGGTGAGTTGTATTTCAGAATTATTATTGGTAGGTTCAATTTCAGAAGATGAAATCCTTTTAAATGTTTGAAATGTTTTTAATTGCAGAAGAGAAGATTATTTACAGTAGATGGAACGGTGTTTGAGAGCCCTATGTTGAATCAGATTGAACATATATGTCAAAAGTGAAGAGCTTCTTGCAAAAGCATTACCAAAGGGTCATAGCTTGAGATCCGAACAGATTGCTCCACCAGATAGAATTCAGACTGCGATGTCTTAAAGAATGTGCAGATCATTCAATGAAAATGATAACACCTCAAATGTGTTTGCATTCTTATAATCATGTGCAACGCCACTAGCGGTTCAGATGGAAGGCATCTGTGGATTAAATTGTTTTTGAAAAGTTGAATATTTTAAATATGGTTTCTCAATCTCACATGCAATTGGAAACATTTCGAACAAATATAAGGTTTTTTTTTATGATATTGATCCTACCAATTCTGAAATAGAACTTACCATTTCTGAAATTGAATGGACTTTTTCTGAAATTCATGTCACCGATTCTGAAATTGAGTTTACCATTTCTGAAATCGAACTAACCAATTCTGAAATCGAGATTACTTTTTTCGAAATATAACTTACCGATTCCGAAAATGAAGTTGAAAAGGTATAGATGGCGTTAAACCCGTCTGGCACAGATGTGCTCACAGCAATTTCCTCTGAGACCATAAATATTGCTGATTGGAATTTGTTGGGCCAGGTAACGTTTAGCCGGCGGTATTCAGACTACTATACACTGATGAGAATCAAGGAGCTCGAAACCGGTCTGTAGGCGGCGTCGTTGCGTTAACCTGGCTCAATCGATATCAATCGGCATCAGAAAGATTAACAGCGCACTTGTAATATAAAATCAGAAGTCAAGTGCGCGTTCTCAGGGCACGGGGCCCTTCATTTTAAATGAAAACCCGTTTATTCCAAATTATTTATTGCAATTATTTATGATATGATGAGAGACATCGGCAACTTTGTTAAATAATGTTCACCTCCATTAATTTCTAAAATACGGCTGAAGATGCACTATTATTAGTTCGAAACATGTCCCGTTGAATATCTACTTCAAAATTGAAGTTGTGGAGGCGACTTTGAGCTTTCCTTCCTCCTTTAAAAATTCCACTCCACTTTGAGCAAACATGGACTTCTACCAGAGGAGAAACATTATTATATTGAGAAGGTATATACTCAGATATATCATGAACATGATACATTGAGAATTCGCATACTTTATGTGGTGAAAGTATCAATTCCTTCTGAAGTTGAGAATTTGCATCCTCTTCCAGATCGTATAAAAATATGATGCAAAATCATATGAAAATCATCTAACTAACCAATATATTCGGTATTGAAATATAAATTGGGATGTATTATTAACAATCGTTTATATTCATATGGGATATATGTACATCTTTCACAAACGGGTTATATGACATTATTCTAATGAACTCTTTTCGAGTATCAAACGCTCCTCGGTAACCTGAAGTCCTGTTATTCTTTCAGCCATTTTTCATGAAATACTCACTTCTTATCTTTCTATAATATACCTGGAACTATAAGAAACTGACGTCTGGAAATAATTATTTTTCGACATTCAACTCCTGTCATCTGAGAGAGTTTGCTTCTGTTGGGATGATTGACAAATTGATAGTCATCTCACAGGGCGTGGACGAAAGATTGAGAAAATCCAATCAGGAATCGATCAATCATTATTACATTATTACATTACCTCATATTGATGAATCGTTACTGATATATTTATCTCCAATCGCATATTCATGTAGAGTTTTTTCCATGCTCTGTATGATGAATAACAGATTGTCATACAAACACATACACGCATACCCAGTCAGATGACAGGAGTTGAATTTCAGCAAATGATTATTGTCCTATTCTAGATGTCAGTTTGTTATACTTTCTGTTTTATTACAGAGATATGTGAATTGTCCATTTTATGAAGGATGGCTGAAAAAAAAAGGACTCCAGGTTACTGTTTGAAACCTGTAATAAGTTGAATAGAATAAAGTCATATGAGCTGTTTGTGAGAGATATACCCATATTCCAGACATATCATGGATACGCATGAATCTCTATATGAGTTCTCATTCAAATATCGAATATATTGTTGAGTCATATATCTTTCATTCCATTTATACATCATCTCATTCATTCGATCTGAAAAAAGATGCAAATTCAAAAAAGTTCAGAAGATTTTATCTTCGGATTCTAATTGTGTGTTCATAAGCTTCAATTCATTGTTCGTCGTAGCCCATACCCAGGAAAGTGGTTGTTTTCTGTTGACTATACCGAGAATAGATTCATACTTTCATAACACAGAAAATGCGAATTTTCAATGTATTCCTTCAAACGTTTCCATTCTTACCATGTTCCTTATGTATCTGAGAATATACCTCTTCAATACTTTCATGCCAATCAAGCAATTTGAACTTGACCGATTGGAACTTGTTATTTCTATAGACCTTCCATTGCAGATTTGTGATTGGGTTTTCCCAATTCCACGTCCTGCATATCATGAATACCAATTTGTCAAATATCCAAACAAAATCGAACATTATCATTCTTATCATCATAATAATGCAATTGCGTGTCCATTATTATAATAAATGCGAATACTTTCGTTTCAGGCATGATTCGGACGAATACTGGATCTGTGCTATGAAACACGAAACTCTTATAGCACAACATCTGACTTCCTCCTGCAGGATGGGACCAAGCTCAGACAAATTTGCCGTTGTGAATCAGCAACTTCAGGTCCATGGACTAAAGAATCTCAGAATCGCCGATGAATCTGTTTTCCCTAAGACGATTTCATCTGATCCATGGGCTACAACGATGATGATTGGTGAACGTGCTGCTGAATTTGTCAAAGAGAAGCATGGCAATTGAATTCCACTCCGAATGATTAGAGTGGCCATTGTTGCGAATATATCAGAATATATTGCAGTTCAATAAAGGAATACTATATTCAATAGCAGTTTCATATTCTAAATCAATGATATTTCACATTTACATCATAAATCTCATGAGTAAAGAGTCTACCAATTATTGAATCAAGAAAAATCTATCAATGAGATATACAAGTACAATTATTCACAACATGGAACGAATTATGATGATCATCGTCTGTCAAAGATATTTTTCCAGAATAAATCAGTTTTCAGAAAACATATTTCTCTCCACAAACATAATATAAATCATAAGCCAGCGTCACAGATCGATTTCTAAGCGCAGAATTCCTCATCCTATTCAAGTCTTTTATCAACTTCCAGTTCAAAGATAACATATTTTACATAATACTGGATAAAACACCAATTCATCTCTGAGACAGTAAATAATCACATTGAGGGGTAAATGTTCCGGACATAAATTCCAGAAGTCAAAACCAATAGTAGAGGAGTTGCAGGATTCATTGGTGTGAGCATCAATAGACACATTAAATGTTGATTCGAACAAATTTTGAAAATGGATCAATATTAAATTTGGTGAAGCTATCGGGATAAGGAAATGTGATTACTCTGTCAATGAAGTCTGTTCTATTCAAAATCACAAAACAATTGCCTTTATCAGCCTTGATATCAGCGAATCATTTAGTGACACTACTATTGAGAGATTCTTGTGAATTTTGTATGTGATCTTGTAGTGAAATTGATATTCAAAAGATCTAGCAATTTCTCTTCTGGAGAGATACTCATTGAACAAGCCATCTCCTGCAATGAATCTTCCACATTCAATAGTGAATCGTTCGTAGGTAGGAGCGTTGTTGAACTTGAAATTATATTTCCGACCATTATTCAGAAGAGTTCTTTCCATTTAGTAAAAGTATATGAAGAAAGGTTGAGAACTCAAGGGTGGAAAGTGTGTTCTGAGTGATGATTTGTACTGGTAGGTATATTATTGTGAAGAAATTGCTTGTAGATTGAATGATATAATTCGTTTTTCAAAATCAAGAATTGGTCCACGACATAACTCACGAACGAAGAAAACATAATAGCAATCTCCAGGGGGTATAAGGTTGAAGAAAGTTCTAGATGTAGCCATTTGAGTGTGTTGTTGATAGTAGTCAGCTGAACATAATATATTTCGATCTCAGCATTTATTCAAATTCTTTGTGCCATGCTCACTGCCTTCCTGAAAGAGAAGCAACTCGTGCTGTTGCAAATAAGAATACCTATTCCTAGGGACTCCAAAGGAATGATTTCTGGTAGGAGTCCATCGTTACTTGAAGTAGCATACAGTGGTAAACACTGAATAATGTTATTGAATCAACCTGGAATCAATAAGGAGCCAATGGAGTGTAGGTTTCAATCATGAACCCTGGGTTGAGCCTGGAATACTGGTTGCTATTTTTTTTTCTGAGAAACTACCGGAATAAAGGCGAACATCTTGTTCGAGAACGGGTCTCTGGTATTTTGGGGTTAGGCCGGGAAAATTATTAATTCAAACTAATTCATAAAGTCTACCTATAGAATCGGAAACACAGTTTCAAACGAATAATACAAATTCAATTCATATTTATCTTTCTTTTTTCTTCGATTTTCTGATTTTTTATTATCGATATTTCAGTGAGGTTAATTATATGTTTCCATTCATGTCAGAATTTCATGAACCATAGACCACCACCTGACGGGAAACCAAGCACAGGGACACCACACCAGGGCACAGGACTAGAACGTTCAAGGAAAAGTAGGGGAAGGATTGACAACTGTCAATAATAATAATAAGCGATTCGACAGATGAAAATATCGAAAATCATTGAATTAATCACTGGAACTGAAGACAATGACAACAGAGATAAAAATATAAAATATGCCATCACAAAAAACCGTTCATTCGCAAATATAACTTCCTGGATTCTTTACACAGATCGGGTGAGTATCGGTATGAAAAACAACAGGAATAAAATGAATATATGAACACGATGAATACTGATGGTGAAAATCAATATGAAAACTTACATGTGCAACAATAAATCACTATATACATTAATACCTTACACTGGCTTTGAATAAACTATGAGAGCACTAAGAGATCAGCAAGAGCTTGAAGAGCAGAGACTGTATAACGTAGAGCAGATACTGTAGACTTGTAGAGAAGAGTGCTCAGAGAAGAGCTCGATCCCTTAGCTGTCTTCAGTATTCATATTCTCAATCGACCTTGATCCATGGACAGCTCTATCCTAATTTCTCATTGGTAGGAATCCTCAACTATGCCAGCTGGAAATATCATCCGAAAGCACATGATCCTAACTCTTTCCGTGGCAGCAATATGCCTGTGTGCGTTTGCACTAGGTTTCGGAGTTTGGCACTGCTTTGAAACCGTTTTTCTCTTGAAAAATATCAGCACAGACAAGACAGATGTTTGAGTTTTTCACTGACATTCAACAACAACCTTCAATCACAACAAAATTATACAGAATGATGAAATTATATATGAATCAACTTTATTCCAAAAAATATAAACTTTCCGCAGGAACAATGCCAATGAAAAATGACCAATGTGGGCAGGAAGAAAAAAATTCTCGATTTGATTTTTTTCATGAACTTATGTATTACAAACTCAGTTTCAACCATTCATGACAGAATTTGGTGAAAAAAATATGGTTTAGTTTGAAAAAAGTGATGGTACAATCAGTGAACCACTGCCCAGATCAGCGAGAATGATAAATCTGGAAACAGTCCTCATCTATTTCCATACAAAGCGGTACTGAACATGTTGAACACATCCAATTTGTTCGTATTTGTTTTTCACTTGTGCTGCACAATGCACATCTTCTTCTGGTGCTATATTTTGGTTGGTGTTTTGCCTCAGGAAGCCTTGTATCTGCAGCCACGAATGGTTTATGTTTCTTAATTTGAATTGCAGGTGGAAGATTTTCTGATGGTCTTCTTTTCTCTGGCACATGTATGAGCCATTCGATTACTGATAGTCTGAAATCTTTCATTGTTAATTTTCCATGGTCAAGCTGCTTATATATAATGAAAGCATTGACGATAGATGCATCTAAGAAAAAGAAAAAGATTCTGTGCCACCACTAGTGGCTTTTCTGGTCGATTTCATATGTAGATTTGATTTGGTCAAATTTGTCATCTCCATTCATATATTTATTGTAATCAATGAGGAGTTGTGGACATGACACATCTTCTACAGTTCCGTCTCTGTTTTTTCTCTTCACAAATGCATCATCTTCACGGTTGTGATAATTAGTAAATAAACAACTGATCTTTTGTCTTTCCATTTTATGGCTAACAGACTTTTATCGCTAGTGAAATGGTCAAATTCTCCACGGTTCAGTTTGATATCTGGCAGAAAATTTGGCAAGTTCTTCCTTGAACTATTAACCGTCCCACGAGCAAAAATTTGTTTTTCTTGTAAATGTTCCATCAGTGCAACGTTATCGAAATAATTGTCGAAGAATAAACAATGCCCATTGTTTTCTGAGCCCTGATACAATGTTTTGACAATCCTGCCCCCTAAGTCCTTTTGAACACCATCATTCGATTCACCAGTGTAAATTTCGAACTTTTAACAGTATCCGCTTTGAACTGCCTCCATCCAGACTTTGTAACCACGTTTGACAGGTTTTTTCGGCATATATTGTTCCAATGTAGATCTACCTTGAAATTTGATCATGGACTCGTCTATAGCTACATTTTTTGGAAGTGAAAAACATTCGCTGAAGCGATCTTGGAGGTGGTTTATCAAAGGTCTTACTCGGGAGAGTTTATCAAAATTAGGATTATTTCATTGTGGTTGTGAAGTATTATCATTCACATGTAAATTTCCTAAGATCCAGGTAAATCTATTTACTGGCATGAGGTTTGCCTGACTACTAAGCGTATAAATTTGTCTGAAACGCCAGAAAATCAATGAGATCATCAGTAGAAAATAAATTGAAAATTGCTCCTGGTCAGTCTGGTTTTTGATGAAATTTGAAACTCCTGAAGTGCTTGTGAAGATGGTACTATTTTCAAACGGTAAATTATATTTAGTCCATGCTGGTTGATTTGATAGGGACAGTCTTTTGCTGTGATACATGCTTTTTAGATAGTAATCGAGCTTGTAGATCCTTTAGTGGGATGATATCTTCCTCAGTATCAGAATCGGTGTCGGAAAATATATCACGAACGGGGACATCATCAATATTATCTTCCAAGTTATCATCGTTCATATTATCACCAACTAAAGATTCATCATCAGATGGAATACTTTCAGCATCAATATTCTCATCATCATTGCTCAAATAGAGATGTTCAATAAGTTCAGCTTTTGTCATGTTCTGAAGGGTGAATGGCAAGTGATCAACTAATTCATCCATACTAATCTGAAACAAGAAAAAAATATCTCTAGCCGTGCGGTGGTACATATATGAGACCAGTATCGAATCAAGTTTCCATAACAAACAATGAAATATACTGAAAAAAATCATTATCGGAATCAATTATTAATACACATAGAATAACAACTTACCAAAATATTGATGAACTATCACTATTTTCAATGAATAAAACCGATCTCAATTAGAGAGAATGTAAACAACCATTCCACAAACACTAAAGCTCATCTAATACATGATTCATTCCAATTTCGCGGGTGCGCGACCTCTCGTAGTGAGTAGACATACCAATAAAAGCGTGTTTGGATGATGGTTCACATTTCCGTTCATAGTACTCTACACATAATGAAATTAACAACTGGTTCATTTTATGAACCACCACTCACCAATGGTGCTTTTATTAGTGGTTCATATTTTGTACCAGTGCGCCTGAAACTCACAAAAATGCGAAGAAAATTACATTTAACCCTAGATGGGCACCAGAATCTACTACCCTTGCTGATGCTACCGAATGAATTTGATTGGAAGATATCCACGAACAGAAAAGTTATGACCAGGTCAACATCTATCATTGCAACTGATAAATAATTCAATCAAACTTCATATCACAAGCAGAGGGTTGGAAAATATTGCAGTCTCCAGA